TTGACTTTCTCTCTCAATATTCTTATGTGTTCTTGAATGCAATATCAAGATTCTGCCATTGTTATGAACTTACATGAAGATTGATCAGAGATTTCGGACACACACTGGCAAACCTTCTAAAGACTTAGTTAGAAGGGCCAGTGACTCATCAAACTTTGAAGATCAGAATCAGACAAGTCCTCATACTTAGTGGGGTCTAACCCCTTTAAAGAAAAAAGAAGAAACAAGAGGATTGGAGGAAGATAGGAGATCAACTGAAGATCCTCAAAGATCAAATCTAACAAAGAACTTTTCATTTCTATGGAATCTTTAATGAGATTCCTCTTTAGCTGACGGGAGTGCTCATTATTAAGCAATATCCCATAAAGAGAACTAAGAGAGAGACATGACTTATCGTTGGACATTTTGAGACACATAGTATAAGTATCTCAAGATTCTGGCAAGCATTCCAGGAACTTTGTCAATGTCTCAGAGCTGGAATATTTTCTTCCAACAGTCCTCAAGTCGATAAAGAGGCAGTTAAAGTGCTGATGTACTTCAGACAACGATTCATTCTTTCCACAAAGAAAGCTTTCATATTGTCTTGCTAAATTTATTTTTCTCGACTCTTGTACTTGAGAAGTACCTTCATATTGAACATAAAGTGTGTCCCACATGGTTTTCGAGGTTCTTAGTTTTATCACAGAATGATAAACCTCATCGGGAAGAGACATGGCTATTATAGATCTCACACGAGTATCTATAGCCATTTTCTTCTTATCTTTATCGCTCCATTGTTGAGGGAGCTTTGAAATTTGTCGTTCAGGAATTGCGGCAGCCGTAGCTGTTTCAGGAATAGCTGGAGATATAACATATGGAACATAGGGTCCATTCTCTATATAGTGTGGAATTTCAGGATCCACACCTTTCAAGAAGAGAGACATCCGATTCTTCCAGAGACTGAAGTTGTCTCTAATGAATTTGGGAGGTTTGGCTAGAGAGTCATTGTCGTGAAAATTGGTGCTGGTGTTTTGTAAAGCCATTTGAAAAGCAGTAAATTATCTAGAGAAAAAGAAGAAATAATAACATGCAGATAAACAACAAAACAAGACGAAAAGCAAACACTGCTCTGATACCACTTATTGGTCCCAACCAGATCTACAAGAGTTTAGAGGTGATCAGTTTGTAGCGGGGATGAATACAAACACATTAACTTTCACTTTTAGAATTATATATTGATAGAGAATGATCAATACAAATTGTTACAGATTGTTTGCGGAATAGAAAAGGTAAAGAAAAAACTTATCTAAAACAATATAGAAATACACACAGATACACTTAGCAAATATGAGAGAATTTTCGAAAGAAATAAGATAGAGAAGTGTGCTTCTTGGGTATGTGTCTTAGAATTTAGAGAGAAATTCTAACTTGCTTGTATGGCAGTGTTTGTGTGTGTGCATGAGTGAAGAGAGAACTCACTTATTTATACCTATTGCATTAAATGCAATTCAGAAGAGGCAGAACACGTGTCAAGTTTTTAGAGAAAAGCTTCTCATTTGCTACAGTGAATAGTACTATTGTCTATTTATGAGCAAACATCCTTTCATGAAGTTTGTGAGCACTAAAGTTGACTAATCGGATCTGTGCAGTACGATACTCTTGAGAGGGTATTGGTTTGTTCTTTGTGTGTGGAAGGGCAAGACAAAAACAATCGTGCATGACAAGCTTCATTTGATCGTTGAATGTTGGAATAATGCTGGAGGTCTCTTCAGCATTCACTGAGACTTATGCATTCTTCACACATATATTGACCATGTTGTAATTACTGAATACCGTTTCAGATCAGGAACGCGCTAGTCATTAATCTTCAGATTCAGTCTTCGACATTCGCTTAAGGTTCGTAGGTGTGAGTTTTGTCTTCATGAAGTATAGCTGTCGTTGTAGGATTACAATACATGTTTCAGCGTTCACTGAACAGATTCAATGATCATCGCTAGTAACTGAATAGACAGAAACATAATACTTCGATAGGTAAAAAGGATTATCATCAAATCAATGAGAGAGAGAGGATCAACAACTCCACTTTTTATTGTAATGAGTGAAAATGCCCAACTTTTAGGTGTTACATTTTCTAAAATTATTAGTACGATCTCAAGAGTTACAATATTTTATTTCATTAAAATAAAATATTTACTTATCTAAGATAATGGACAATAATTTGTCATACGTTATTTAAATGTGATTTAAAAATCAGAACTAAATTCAGTTTTGTATGGTTAACAAAAGAAAAAGTTCGCCTAACCCTTAATGGGCCGACTGATTTGATAATCAACCAAGTATAGAACAAAAAGATTCAGGTTCGATCATTCACTCTTTACGAGGGTCGCACATAAATAAATCATTTTTTAGGGTAAATCATTGTCATTTTGTATGAAAAATATAAAAAGGATGTTTATATGGTTATATATGAGTAAGGGTATTAACTTGTCAAACTTTTAATGAGTTATTCGAACTTGTTTATCTCGAGTTTGAGTTTAATAATTGTCAAGCTCGAGGTGATCTCGAACACATCCCAAAACTCATTTAACTTAATAAGCCAATCTCCATAACACTAATGTTCGTCTACGCTCATCAAAAGCTTTATTAATTTTTTTAGTCAAGCTAAGCCAAGTCCAGGCAAGCTGAGCCATTCAAGCATATACTTTATAGAAGCAATCTTGTTTATATGTTCATAAATCATGTAATGAACTCGTAAACCAATGTCGAGCTCGAACTTGAAAATTGAAAAAATATGCAAGCTCGAGCCCTGTGGAAAAGTTATTCAAGCTCAAACCCTAATGTAAAAAAAGTTAATTAAACTCGAACTATATTGTGAAAGAATTATTCGAGTACGAGACTTCGAGTCAGGTATGGATCCATAAAGTTTTTCAAATGGTAGCACCATTTGACTATAAGAAACAAATATAAAGATATCTTTTACAAAATCATCATTGGTCTGTTGTTGAGTTTATTGCTTTCATATATGAGGTCATGTGTTCAAGTATTTTATTGCATTTTTCTTTTATAAACATAATAAATATGAAATTAAAAGTTAAAAAATAAAAAAAATAACACTAATATGATTCAAACTCAGGTTTGGAATGAAAGAAAAGTCTTGGAAACTAACTCTATCAAAGGAAACTTATGTCCTCGTTGTAATTTCAAAATATATATAGTGACACACGACAAATTATTATAATGACGCTCTTCATGACTCTAGAATGTTTTAGACTACGAATGATGAATAATTAGGTGGCATGGACTACTATAGGATCTGTAATATTTTTTTTGAGAAAAGCTCTCTAATTAACAACTATTTATATGAGGGATTGACTTCCAATGAAAAAGAATGTTACAGTTAGAAACTTGTAAAAAAATCTATTAAAATGAGATGCAATACTATAATTGTTAGACTTCTCCCCTTTTGCTCTCACTTTAATTTGTTGCAATAATGAAAATGGTTGGAAATAGATGGTTTTTCCAAAGAGTTTTTGTTGGTTTAAAAAGCGAAAGCCTTTATTCCTCCCCTCTCATCTCACTCCCACTGATCACCAGAGTCGTGAAACCCCTCGTAAAAAGCCACCATTCGAAGCTGATAAGCGCAATCGGTTTCTCCTTACAGCTTGGATCTACCGACAATGAGGAGATTTTTCAGCAGAGGCACTTCCAATGATTCATCTCCACAAACGCCACCGACGGCGTCTTCTCCAACCCCTCTTTTTTCTCCATCGACTGCCGTTGCTTCCGGCCCTGCGAGACCCATTCGCCTCGTCTATTGCGACGAGAGAGGGAAGTTTCAGATGGATCCAGAAGCTGTTTCTGTTCTTCAGCTTGTTAAAGAACCCGTCGGTGTCGTTTCAGTTTGCGGTCGTGCTCGGCAAGGAAAGAGTTATATCTTGAATCAGGTGCTTTTTTTATTTTCTTAATAGGAGAAACTTAGGGTTTTCTGATTAACTGTTTTTAGAAATACTTGTTGCATGATTTCTTAATTATGTGCTATTTAGTTTGTAATTTTGAAACGAGGGTTTTCGGTGCATCTTTTACTTGTGGAACTGGTTACTCGGTAGAAATGTACTAAGGGGGTGTTTGGGATTGCTTATTTGAAACAACTAATACTTTTCTACAAAGTCCTTGTTAAAAGACTTCTTATTACGGTTTTGGCACCGGTGTAAGTGTTTATCCAAACACTCAAGAGTGCTTATTACCGGTGTGTCAAACCAGAATAAGTCAATAAGTTGTTTTTATAAGCAATCCCAAACACCCTTTAAAAAGTAGTTTGTTGGCTCCAATTTTAGGGTGTTACTAAGAAATAAGTAATTGAACCATGATGTTTATACATGGTTAATTATTCTGAAGCTAGGGTTTTAGGGGGACTGTTGAATTCTTCTTAGGGAATTTGTTATTTAATTGCTAAGCAGTAGATTATAGGATATAGAGATTAGTTGAATCGGCCCCGGGCGACATGCGTGAATTGCCTTCTATTTCATTTATAGAGTTCACAATCCACTCTTTTTTCCCTGCATCCGTGACAAATTTTATTTGTCTTATTGACACTAGGTGATGCATGGCTACCGAGTTTGTGGTTTTTGGTAGTTTGTTGCTTGTTCCAAGTTTTGGGAATTGTGGCTAAATAGTTGGTTATGTAGGGTTAAATCAATAGTCTAGGTACAATGTGGTAGGACTACATGAATACTCTATATGCTCGACCACTTCACGTATAGTACGTAGTATACTCCTATATGCTAATATAAGTTGTCTAAAAGAATTGTGAAAGCTATTGGTTGTCATGTAATACTCCCTCTCTTCTAATGACATATATTACGTATGTGGCTAGGAATTCTTTTACAATTTTTTTACTAATAGCAATCATGTTTTGATGGACTTCCGGTCATGCCATGGTGGAAAAGGGGTGGAGTGTGTTGATCTCACTTCTGAATTTCCTTTAAGTTTCTCTCCTCTAGCACCCCTACAGGATGGTAATTGTTCTTTCTATTGGCTATATATCTGTACAATGCCACTTCAAGCTACCTTCTTGATGTATTTAGCCAGTGATGGATTCCTAGCCATAGAATGAATCAAGGAAGTAAGGACATTTCAAGACCAAAGCAAAGCATATGTGGCACTTGTATATTAAACTAATTTTGTACCAACGAGCATAGAGGCTAGCAAGTCATTTGTGGTCAAAAGAGGGCATTTAACGTAGGGCATCTTAAAATGGAATTTCTTGCAACTTGAAATTATTATTGAGTGAATGGTGTATTAGATATTACATTCTTTTGCTGTAGAAAAGAGATACTCTAGCACCCCCTTCGAGGCTATAAACCAAGGCCCGAACGGTCGAATGGTATTGTATACTCAACTATGGCATGAGCTTGGGAAAGCTCCAGCTGCTCGAAGAGCTGGAAACACTTGTAACTTTTCAGTGTAATTGGATAAATTGCCATTGTGATTAAATTGTTAGATCAGATTCATGTGGGTTCTGATAACTTATAGGTCAACAAACTTCACGCACAAATCAGGAAAAATATAATATAGGACAAAATGTATTAAATAACAAATAGCTTTTTGAAATGTTCCAATTTGGTTGCTCAACTTTTTTTTGGGTCCTATCGAGTCATTAAACTCTCAATTTTGTCCCACTTTTGAGGCAAGTCGACCCATTTACCACCTTACGATGTGGACTTCATCTTGTTCAATCTTTCTGAAATGTCAAAATACTTAATTTTTTAATTTTACCAACCTCGTCTCCGGTAAGAAACCAAACAACATCGTCCTTTTCTTCGATGTTGGTTAGACCATTCTTGACACCTTTTTTGGTGCTTGGGTCTTTAGAATACAACAATGCTGTCAGTGACCACCGAGGCATAGGACGGTGGAGATCCATTCGGTTTTCGGATTAGGCTACCCCCGAGACTATACCGATGGTTTGGATTTGAGAAAGAAGGTTAAATTTGATCTTACGGCCATTATCAAATCTAAATGGGATTATCATCATTTTATTTAAGCTGTGTTCTGAAGCGGAGTTATATCTTGTACGAACCTTCGGGAACTGGAAAATCCAGTTTCATTGCAACGATGGTAAAATCATGTCATATTACGTTAATGCTAGTGACCTCTCCTCTCGAAAGTCAAATGATTCCGATATGAAAATGCTTTTATTACAAACTACAAGCAAGTCAGTGGCCGTTGTTGATTTACGCATCAGATTTGACCGCATGGAGTTTATCAGGAATTTTGAACTTCATGGATGGCATATTTAATCATTGTGCTGGTGACGAGAAAGTATTGGTTCTCATGATGAATAGTAAAGAGAAGACCAATCTGGGGATTTATGGCCTGGCATATCAATTTAGGGTTTTTTTTTTCTTTTATCAGACGTGCCTTAATTACTCGGCTAAATGAACATGATTGAGCCCACACATCATCTGGTAACTGGTTGCCACCCAAATAGGTCTACTTGTCACAGCATTGGGACAAAGAATGAAAGTTTAACGACTCAACTGGTACAGAACAGGCTGCGATGGACATTGTGGAGAGTTGGCTGCTATTCAGTGCATTTTGCCTTATGATATACAAAGTAAGGGTGAAAGTTTTATAGAATGTATGATGTATCAATAAGGGGATGTCTTACCAATATGAAGGCAACCAGATGGGTTACTGTTTCATTAATTGATTCATATTGTTTGTTTCATAAATTGTAGAATATTGTTGATTTTGACGAATATGGATATAGTAACAACAGAAAACAATTACGCTTCACTGCTGAAGTAGCTGAGTTAGACGAGTTTGCTATAGTCGGCCTCTCTTCCAACAATCATACGTGAAGCTATAGTGGGCCTTTTTTGTCGGACAATCGCATGTGCCTGTCAAACATATATTTTCAACTTTTTGAAGTATCACTTGAAGTCTGGAGGCATGGTTTGGGGTTGAGAACATGGAAGATACTTGGTATCTTTTTGGAGATATAAATCAGGAAGTAACAGGAACACATAAGCTAAGCATAGTTGTAACACCCCACATTACACATTGCATATAACACATACTTCATTTAAAGAAATACATGTATTACTCCACTTAGGTCCCATAGTACAAGAAATTAATGTCCGAAGTACACAATCAAAAATTCCAAAATACAAATTCTTGTACTACATAACATATATCTTCAAAACTATATTTATCTATAAGCTGATCTTCATATGGTTAAGCACATAGGAAAATATTTACATTTTCTCTCATGTAACCCAGTTGAACCTGCAATACATATTAGAAAGACAAAATGAGGGTTAGACCTAAAGGTCTAGTGAGATCCCTTTTTCCTTGTAATTGCAGGGTGAAGATCATCAAAACTTTATTAAAAATCAATTTTTCATATAAACAGAAACATAATCTCATAGTTCACAACGACCAGCGCCCCTCTGGTTCTAAATGCCAAATTTGACGTAGGAATAGTTTATTTAGCAAAAAGTAGGGCCAGAGCCCCTCTGGTTCCACATAACTCTTTTCCAAATACTTTTCATCAAAAGCATGGTTATTCAAAACCTCTGGCCATAATTATTCCCTTCTCAATAACATCATTACTATCATTTCCAATAAGAACGATATTCTTGAATCTTTAAATCACAAAGAAATAAGGACTCAGAACCATTGTAATCTTAAGGGATATAATAGTGAGAGCTGTAACCATAATCACACACACACAAATGCCACCCTTATATCCAAAGGTACACCTCTCCTTGATATGCCACTCTTTTATCCGAAGGTACACCTCTCCTTGATATGCCACCTTTATCCCATTGTACACCTCTTTTTGATATGCCACTCTTATTTCCTCATCAAAATCTATAGATTATTTCCAATAAGGACAGACCGGAGTCACAACCGTCCTGAAGGAACATCATCTATAGTTTTAGCCAGTAACAGTTTCAAAACAGTTTTTATATCAAAACTTTGAAACTCCAAAATCATAAGTTTTTTTAATCCACTTCCTGAATTCAAAACCCTTTAATTTCTTAAAATAAAATATTACTTCAACTGTTCAGAAAGAAACAAATATTTCTTATATTACCAAAGCAGATCCAACTTGTACAGACGGCTTGTATCCGGACAACACATGTCCGGACAGACTTGGCCGAACTCTCCATCCGGACAACAAAACACAAGACAGCATCTGGTCATACCTTCTCTGGACAACATAGTATCCGGGCATAAAAATACTCATCGGTCAAAGTGACCGGACACGCCCTATCCGGACAACACTATGTGGTCGGACACCCCCTATCCAGACAACACTGTGTCCGGATACAAATTCATTTTATTCAAATCCGGTCAACATTGTGACCGGGCTTACTCCAATCCGGTCAACATTGTAGCCGGAGATGAGTCCTAATCTGTCAAAGAAGATATTCAAGAACAAAGTAGTAATTTCAACATAGCAAACTATAAACCAGTAATAAATCATATGTAAAGGATGTCTGAAAACACTCACCTTATGCAATTATCAGAGTTTTGAAAGAAATGACAATACGAATCAGAATGCTTCCAAATCTCCAATTCCAAGCTTAGCAAGCAAAAACCCTTAGAGAAACTTTACTCGCAATTTCTTTCTAAAAGTGGCAAGAAGTTGCCTTTTCTCAAAATGGTGATATTTATACCCTTCCTTTAAAAAGGAAGGCGGCTGAACTTTATGCATGTTTCTCAATTATCACTCATGCATGCATATGTACTAACTATGCATGCAAACCATGCACCCATAGAATATACACCATATACTTTCATGCACACATATATTTATATTTTCTCACCACCCTTACATGCATGAAAATATACACATATTTGCATATTAATTTTATGTAAGCATATATTCACATGATCAAATATAACAATTTATCACATATTCACGTAATCACATATCAAATAACCACATAATAATTACCTCGGGTGATAACCAGAATCCAGTTATCACAATAGCAGATTAAAATTTTGGTACTAGGAGTCTATTTACGAAATAGTAACATCATTTCAAAAATTACAATTGAAAAATGAAACCTTGTTGAGGTAGCTTTTTGACATCTATGAGGTTTCCTCTACAAGTGAAGTTCATTACTGCAACATTGGTAAAAGGTAAATTCCTGTTTGGGACACCAAATTGAGTTTATAGAGGCTGTTAGCTTTTGGTTTTAAGAAGTACACAGGAACAGACTACTGATAAGTGGTAAATGAGGCCTGTTGTGGTGCCGATATGATTTCTGTCACAACCTTTATATCTGCAGACTGCAGGTCGTGTGACGTAATGGCTTTACATTGTTATAAGATTTTTCTATCTATGAGAAAAACCTATCTTTTCACATTTTATTTGTTTTGCTGAGATTACATTGATATGAAATTCCATATGTTTTACATTTATTAATACATGACCTTTCACCTTCATGCTAAGTAGCAAAATTGATCAACTTCTGTTTTTTTTTGTAGCTTCTTGGAAGGAGTAGTGGATTTCAGGTGGCATCAACTCATCGTCCTTGCACAAAAGGGCTTTGGCTGTGGAGTACCCCTTTAAGAAGAACTGCTCTTGATGGAACTGAATACAATCTTTTACTGATAGATAGTGAAGGAATTGATGCTTATGATCAAACGGTTGGCTCAACTTCTAAAATATCTAGTTCATCTTGTTCAACTTGAGTACAACAACTCACGTTCCTTTTCTGTAAATCGTTTGATGATCAAACGGTTGGTAAATCATTTTTTTCCATGTGCCATTTTCAGGGAACATACAGCACTCAGATCTTCTCTCTAGCTGTACTCTTATCAAGCATGTTTATATACAACCAGGTCGAGTTTTTGAATAATGTCTTGATTCATTCTGTATACAGCTGTTACTTCATCTCACTTTTCATGCCTTTCTTCTATCAGATGGGAGGTATAGATGAGGCTGCACTTGATCGCCTCTCTCTTGTTACTGAAATGACTAAGCATATTCGTGTCAGAGCTTCTGGGGGGAAGACTACAGCTTCTGAGCTTGGACAGTTCTCCCCAATATTTGTCTGGCTTCTAAGGGTACATTCATGCCGCTTCTTTTTTTATGATCTCTTGACTTACAGATGTGAGGTGTTCAAGAAGTCATTGAGTTGTTGATCTTAGTGACATTACATCATCAGCTACTGCTATTATTGTGTTTTTCCTTAAATATATATTCCAAAAGTGCAGGACTTCTATCTGGATTTGGTGGAGGATAATAGGAAAATAACTCCACGTGACTATCTAGAGCTGGCTTTGAGGCCAGTACAAGGTGGTGGAAGAGATGTTTCTGCCAAAAATGAGGTTACCTCTTAAGCTCAATCTCTACTCGCTACTACTATTATTACCATTACTCCTCCTTGGTTCATGTAATCGCTGGTTTTAGATTGTAAATATTGTTCTATTTTGCACATGTTTTAGATTCCTGAACAATAGATGATTGATAATTGATAGATTCGAGAATCCATCCGAGCTCTCTTTCCGGACAGGGACTGCTTCACTCTTGTGCGACCTTTGAGCAATGAAAATGAGCTCCAGCGGCTTGACCAAATATCAGTCAGTAGTCTCTTTCATGAACACAAATATTTATTATTATAGTATCACGGCTCCTTGGAATATTGTATTTAGCTTTAGCCTTTTTAAATGTTATTGGCACATATAGATGGATAAATTGAGGCCAGAATTCAAATCCGGACTGGATGAGCTAACGAGGTTTGTTTTTGAGAGGACTAGGCCCAAGCAGCTAGGGGCCACAGTTATGACCGGACCCATTTTTGCTGGCATTACTCAATCCTTTCTAGATGCTCTCAACAATGGTGCAGTGCCTACAATAACTTCCTCATGGCAGGTTAGTTCTTAAAGCAATTTCTTTGTCCTCATGGCAATCTTCTATATCATCGGTTTGATTGTTGCTGTTTATCTGACGACTCATTATTTTGCAATTTGGAATTGATGGTTGTGAGGACCTACTTTGGAGGGACCCCACTTTCTTAAGAATTTTTCATGATCTTTTACAATCAACCCTGTAATTCTAGTGATGTGATAGCTAACTGTGTCTTCATCTTTCAGAAGCATTAGTTGATGTTGTATAGTTAATTTGATATCGAGGGAAAAGATATGGCAACAAATGTTACTTGAGGTTGAGATAGCTTAGTGCTCAAATGTCTATTTATCTGCACAATGTTGCTGATACAGATCTCATGGTCTCCACCTCCTTATGAAGTGGGAGATTCAGATATGTTATTTCAGCACTTCACAGCTTGATGCATTCATATAATCATCATGATTTCTCTATTCTGCTTTGCAAATTGGGGTCAAGTTCTCAGCTATTTACATTTTGCAGAGTGTTGAAGAAACAGAGTGTCAAAGGGCGTTAGAATATGCTACAGAAGTTTACAAGTCTTCTTTCGACCGTACAAGGCCCCCTGAGGAAGTATGTTCTTTTTGTTCTCTTCATTTTTTTCTTTTTACTCGGTGGTCACATGAGTAATATAGTTCACTTTGCAAATGCTTGTAGGCTGCAATACAGGAAGCACATGAAGAGGCTGCTCAGAAGGCTGTGGCTGCTTTTAATTCAACGGCAGTAGGGGCTGGTTCTGTTAGGCAAAGATGTGAAAAGCGTCTTCATACCTTTTTGAGAAAAGAATTTGAGGTAGCTTTTCTGGTTTTGTTATATTGTTAAGATATTATAGTTTCTGTAGATTCACATCATGTAACACCCCTAAAATTAGAAGAATAGCAACTTGAAAAAACTTGATATATAAACAACAGCTACAAGTTTTTGCCTAATAAAAGAATAATTTAGGTCGGTTGTTACAAGGGTGAATGAACAGGTTTAAGGTTAACAACTTTCTAATCTAATTCATACCACGAATAGATTATGATCGGGTGTCACTAAATCTCCAAATATCTGCTATCTCCAAGTAAGGTGTCCCAAAAATGCTAAAAGCTCTATGTGCCTCTAACCGACACCAAATCAACTCTATCAATCCTGCCACTCGAACCTGAGATTCATGACAATAAGAACAAGTGTTAGGCTAACAAGCCTAGTGAGTTCAAGCATATAATCAAGCAATAACATCCATATGCATAGATGAACGTTACATAACGCTCCGCGTATAGCTTCTCATTTACTCATGTTACACCAAGGGAGTTTCACCACCGAACACCTATAATAAGAGTCCCAAGGATTCGTTCTTACATGTACAGGGGAGAGTTGTTTCCATTAAACATGGTGGAATAAAAAAGTAGGCCATGATGTCAATGTTGTCGTGTAGCACCTCACAACCTCCGTCTTAGTGCCTACCGACCTCGAATAGAGTTTCACCTCAAGGTTAGTGTTGATCTTAGTGCCTACCCCTCGGGGTTACACCTCAAGGCTCAACGACCTTAGTGCTATTCCACTTGCCACTAGGAGTCCCTTTCAATGAATATCATTCTTTAACACCCAAAATCGCCTTAATTGAAGTGAGTGATCAGGGGGAGATATACATCAAGAAAATAGGTCCAAACGGGCTTAAATAGCACCAGGCCAAGTGGCGTGACCGTAGTCGCTGGCCAGGTTGCTTGTGTCTCTTGCCGATGCAAACGGTCTCCCACGCGACCTGTTCCAACCTAGGTCGCCCCACTCACTTTTTCTCCAAAACCTGTCCAGCTTGATCCTCCAGAACTCAAGTTGTGGGAACCCCTGGAGATCTTAAAATTCTCTATTTTGCCACCCAGAAGGCCCTGAATCATTCTAAGGTACATATATACCATTAAACTCCAAAAATTAACATTGTTCACGCCCAAATGTGTTTCAGAAATCCATAAAAGACATTGATGCAAACAAGGGTCTAACACATCAACTATTCATTACACATGTCTCACCTCTCTCAGTATCTGCAAAACATATCTGGAGATGAAAAAGCTGCAGAGTAGTAGCTAATTGATTGATGACAACATGAATCTTTAACAATCAATACTAACAATAGTGGTTGTTAGAATTATTTATACGTAGTTCTAAGTCCACAAGTATTTCTAATGTTTCTGTTCTGAATATCTAAAGTTGACTTCTGAGATATTTGGAGAAATAAACAATTTGATGATTCTCCATGCAAATGTGTACAGAGTTCATAGAATCATGGATGTCATCATGTTAATAAGCCAATTAGATAGACTACCATCAACCTGATAGTGAAAGAACAACCAGGTTTCTAACAAACTAGGATTGCTTCAACATATAATTAGATAGACTATCTTCAACCTGATAGTGAGAGAACAACATTGATCACCTTTAACTTGGTACATACCACATCCAACCATGTGTCAAACTGTACTATGTCTAAGTGCTTGCAACTTATTCTGCGTAGGGGTTTGTGAACTGAAGTTTTGTTGTTGCTCATCTCTTCAGTAAAGCCCATTCAAGTGCAACTACTGGGTGCTGTGGTTTTGAGGGATGGTGTTGTTTCAGTTGTTTCATTTTTTGTACATCTTTTGATCAGCAGAGGGTATGGTTTATAATCGCAACTGGAGTCATTCATCCTCTGTTTTTATAACAAGACTCCCTCCGTCCCCCGGAAGCAACACTTTTGAGTTGCTTTTTAACAATGCAATGTTTTTTTTTGTAGTCTCCTTTCAAAATTGACCTATTTTCTCATTAGCAAGCATTGCAAGATATTGGTGAACTCGAGTATGGTGCTCAAGTTTTTGCAAATTTGTCTTGCTTTTATTACACCATGTTCATGTCAAAAGTTACATTTTTGTCGGACCAGGAGTATTTATTATGGCCGGATAAATCAGTACAGTTTAAAATGAAGTTCATGCAACTATATCTGTAGTCATTTTATCAATTAATACATGCTATAAACTATTAATGCAGGATTACAAAAGGGAGGCCTTTATGAAGGCTTACATGCAATGCTCAAATGCCATACAAAAAATGGAGAAAGAACTAAGAACAGCTTGCCAAGCACCTGCTGCAAAGTTCAGTGATATTCTGAAGGTAATAGTCATACTGCTTTCTATGCATGAAAGTTTAGCCTATTGGCTCTCCATGCTGAATGTTTCTGAAAGTTGTTTGCTTTTAGGATTGCTGAGAATTGTGTTAAATATCCATATGTCTGGATGTGTTCATGTTTTTCTGTATTATCATTTCACTCTAAGGTTGCTAGTATTGACTGAACTTGTAAGATTTTAAAACAACAATTTAAGTTTTGACATTCCAATATTCTCAAATTTTTGTTAGCAGCACCTTTAAAGTTGTATGTGAAACAAGGTAGTCCTTGCTTTAGGGCAATTGTTTGCTTCTCCTCAAATGTTCTCAGTAGTCTTTCTGTTTATTTCGTATGATTTACTTGTTTGAATTAGTTTAAACACAAAGGATGTATGGACAGGTTTCTATGGATGAATATCTTATCTTATTCTGGCTTAGTTTGAAGAATAGAATCATCAACAAGGATGTTGTCATAAGAAAAGAGGACAGCGATCAGGAAGTCCTATTGAATTCGAAAGTAACTCTATAGCATGGGGATGAGACTTGCTATGATTTATGGCATAGAGCTATGGGCTACCAACAGGGAAGGATAGAATTAGAACTGATAGTAAATGGAAAAAGTTGGGGGAGCACCAACACCACCTGAGATGGTTTAATTATCTCAAACGTAGATCTGGGAATGTTTCCCTTTGAAGAATACACTCTTACCAAGAGGATGTTTCTAGAAGACATGGGGTTTAGCCAAGATTGACCTGGGAAACTAATGAAAGTTTATGTCTATCAAATAAGTTAGCCTTTAGATAGGAGTTACGAGGATGCCATTCATGTCACAGAACTATATGGGGGTTAATCTCTTCATAATTTCTTTAGTGTTTCATTTTTAGCCTAGCTCGTCTTGCTTGGTACAAGAGGGTTGATTTTGATAGAGGGTCTAACTAAAAACACATAAAAGTACCCAAGCTTCCAGATTCATGTCTTGTATGCTGGTGACTTCTTCTGAAAGAATAAAATGTTTAAATGAAGTCCCTATAAAACTTGGGGTGCATATTTGAGCCTATGAACTTCTGGCTGAAGTTAACTCAAAAGTTTATAACAAGCCTATCAACTTCCCAATCGGTGAGATGTTGGGTTATTCTGCCTGCCTTAAAAATTTTCTTATAATTTTTTGATCATATCAATCTATTGTTGATGAACCGTAGTCAAAATATTGACTCTTTAAGAAGAATAAAGAGGTCGATCACTGAAGATGCTCCAACCTCAGCTCTCTTCATCCTTGTTCCATCTTTACCCACATGCTCTACTGCGTTCTCCTAAAGCTATTTGCCATCTGATTGTGTTTCAACGTCTTGGTCGCCATTTGCTCGTGTCTTCTTCGGCACTTCTATTATTTTAGGTGTCCTAATTCTTTCGTGACTGATTGTTCTTTTCTGGTGAAAAATGATTTGTATTGAAAAGGATCTTGAAGAAATCTATAATTGAAATTACAATTGTCTTGAAAGGCTTGAAGAAATGGGTGAAGATGACTTCCCTAAATTAAAATCAACGAATTATGACTCCTGCCCCTAGCTAATTGAACAATCTACTATTCTGATTGAATGAAACCACAGTCCATTTAGAAGCAAATAAATGAATATTAAAAAAACTCATTGATTTGGATGCAAGCATTAGAAATAGATGACCCATAAATTCTACACATTTTGTTTGAACCTGCACACATAAGGTTTGATGAGTTTCAACCTGCAAGGGTTGATCTTGAAGTCCCTGAATGTTGAGAAAACATTTCTGTGACAACCAAAACCATTGGAGAGCTGTTTGAGGGTGTCAAAGATGATTGACCCAACACCAAATAATAGACATCGGGAGACCATGCCACAATTTGGGTAGAATATTCAGAGATGCATTACCTGTCAAATGAATGCAATGAGGAAAGCAAAATACAAAGCCAGAGGAACTATTCTATAATTGAACCCAAGCTCCTGGAATATTGCAGAGGATAGAACCAGAACTTTGATTCAACTACCTAATGCACAGGAGACCAATCAGAGACTTGAAACACCAACCTGAAAATGAAGACAACCTTTGCTGACTGATGACTGATTTTGCTGCTCTTTCTTCACTGCCTAGTAACATCATCTTCATTTCCACATGCTTTTCTTTTCCTTGCTGCCACATATCTACATTCTAGCATTAACATAAAACTTCCAATGGTTCATCTTCTTCACTGCCAATTTTTAGTTCAGTTTCAGTTTTGGACTCATGAGAAGATTGCTACGTATTTTTATTCAGCATAGGTTGGTCTGCAGACTTGTATCAAGGAATTGTGTGTTTTGAGATGGAAAGGAATATGAAGATTTGGTTGTGGTTTGCGAGAATCATAGCTTTGTGGGGGATTTATTGCTATGGTTTATCTTAATTTTGTGACTATGAATGAAGGAAATTGAAGTCTATAGATCGTGTGATAAAAACTTCATTCTTGTCGTGGCTGGCATGGGACATATGTTCTTGGTAGTGTGGATACACAGAAGAGGAAGATGATGAGTAGCTAGAAGGATGAGTTTAGTAACTGCCATCAAGGAAGAGCATCTCCGCGAGTTCCACCTTTTAGTTCAGATAATGCTTACTATGGCGTACTAATTGAACCTTAGTAAGGGTGAAGAGGTTATCTCATTGCTTCATATCGTAGTAGTTAAGGTGTATGCAATGGCGCGCGGTGGAGCACATATTCAGCTTAGCACCTTGCTGCACAGGTTGGTGTAACTTAGGAAAGTGGTGCATGCCATTTGGGATATGTGCATGGTTTGGGAGCAACAAGTATCACAAACTAGGTTTAATCATTTTTATTCGGCCCAAGTATTTTAAGAAAGGCCAAGAGATTATATTAAGCCACTGCCCATTTAAAAAAAACTTGAAAAGCAAGAGTTTGACCTAAAAAACAAAGAAAATAACAGTCTAACGAAATAGTGAAGACCTAAAGAGTTTGTGTAATTTATGACCTACATTATGACTAACTTGTTGCCTTACGGGTGGCTAGGCAGGTGACTTGTCGCCTAGGCTTTTGGACTTGACTCTGTTGTGTTGACAACCATATGATATAATGCTTGAATATTATGCGGATGTCCACCATTACAACTGTCTTCTCCTAGTGTATGCCTTAATAGTCTGTTGTGACAAGAATTTCATTCATGTATTATTACTTCTATCCACCCACCCACTTCACTTCTGACTCAAGTGTCAAACAAGTATTTCTCTTATTCAGATGTGACCTGGATGTTTATAGTTTTTTTGAATTATTATTTAATATTTTTATCCCCATGATTTGTCTTTCCAATACGTTCTCTACTACAACCAACTGTTGTCATCAAAAATTTTGACTCCGTAAATATTCTAATTTGGAAGGGAACTATTTGACACTTACTGACATTTACGTTTATAATTTTAACATATTCATATGATGGCATGGTTTTAGATCTTGTAGCATGTTAGTGGTTAAACTTTTTCCTATAGGGTTTATTTTGTTATATGGAAATGGGATTTTGGATGTGTAATTATGTTGATCAGACTCATGGTCCAATTATACCTCAAAACTTGTTTTCATGTCTCCGTAGTCATGGGAAGACTTGACATAATAAGTAACGTATTGATTGTGAAGATACCTGATGATTCAGTCTTTGTCATATAGGCTCTTGATCAGCTTTTAAACAGCTATGAAGCAAGTTCATATGGTCCAGAAAAGTGGCAGAAGCTAGCTTCTTTCTTACGGCAAAGGTTTGGCTTTCATATTTAGTTAATCTTCTTTGCTAGCTTTTCTGTATATTTTGACGTTTTGTTTTTCTTTTGGACTTTTAAGCTTGGAAGGTCCAATCCTCGACTTTGTGAAGAAGCAGATAGATCATATTGCCACAGAGAAAAGTTCTCTTCAGTTAAAATGTCGCTCAATTGAAGATAAAATGAGATTATTTACCAAACAATTAGAAGCTAGTGAGAAGTATAAATCCAATTACATAAAACGCTATGAGGACGCCATTAATGACAAGAATAAGCTTGCAGAAGAGTACATGAGCCGAATTGCGGATATAAAAAAGAACTCTAGCTCATTAGATGAAAGATGCTCCAGCTTATCAAGAACGCTTGAAGCTGCCAAACAGGAATCTGTGGAATGGAAAAGAAAATATGAATTGGCATTATCTAATCAGAAAACTGGGGAGGAACAGGCTTCCTCGGAAGTAGCAAATCTCAAGGCCAGGAGCAGTGCGGCAGAGGCAAGATTAGCTGCTGCACGAGAACAAACCATGTCTGCTCAAGAGGAGGCAGATGAATGGAAACGCAAGTATGATGTCGCTGTCAGAGAAGCAAAGAATGCACTTGAGAAGGCAGCTGCTGTGCAAGATCGTGCAAGTAAACAAACCCATCATCGTGAGGATGCTCTACGAGCAGAATTTGCTGGCACATTGGCTGGCAAGGTGGAACATCTTTCATGTTTTATAGTTGTTAAAAGTGTTGAAAACTTGTTCTCTTTTAACTGCAAATGAAATTGCAGGAAGCTGAAATAAAAGATAAGGCATCGAAGATAGAACAGGCTGAGCAGCGTGTAACTACTCTGAGCTTGGAGTTGAAGGTGGGGTCCTTCTAAGTAGCTACCTATACTTGAAATCATCCTCAATAACATGTAAATAGTTATCAACTTCTTTCACCATCATACTTGGCTCTCATTGCAAATGAACCTTATCTTTTGTGAAAGTATGCAGAAAAGGAAAAAATAAAGCATTTTGCAAGAATGAGTCATTTTGGATGAGAATGCCAACTAAGATGGTTTTCTTTTGCATCTATATATAGATGACTAGTCTAAAATCACTTCTTGTTGCAAACCGTAATGTTCCTCGTGGCATTCTTGCAATATCAGCGGTTAGCATGCAAAAAAGCCAAAAATGATGGTTCAAAAAGTCGACCACTGCAGGGGGGGATCTATGTGGAAGCATAGGTGGCTCATGCCACTGCTTCATGGTTCAATCATAGTGGAAAAAGAACTATGTTTTTCAAGGGTGCCACCGTAATGTTTCTTCATGGCCCCCTATATATTTAAAATTAAACTTATACAGTAAGTTTTTGATGGTTGAGCTGGTCTAAGTCGCTGGATTAACCTTTCTTGTTCGAAAAGGCATGTGTTCGGATCCCCCCCTCTAGCAAAATTTCCTATTTCAAAGCTTTTAATTTTGGGTTTCAGTGACTTCTGTTTTTCATTGGAAGAAGGCAGCAGTGAGAAGGGTCGAACCCACGATCTTTCCTTGCAAATGAAGCAACCAACCAACTGATGTATTATAATTTTGTGAAAAATAGCTTCCTCTGGTCATATGGTGCCACTGTTTGAAATTTTTTTGGGTCCACCTTTGGACTCACCACTCCATGGAAATATCATGTATGTAACTTGTTTATCATGCACTAATGGCTAATGCTATGTACTCTGATCATCAGGCTGCAGAGTCGAAGATAAAGAGTTATGATCTGGAAATATCTGCTTTAAAAAGTGATATCAAGGAGTTGGGTGAAAGGCTTGAAAGTGCAAATGCGACGGCTCAATCATATGAAAGAGAAGCGAGGATTCTGGAGCAAGAACGAGTTCATTTGGAGCAGAAATATCGATCTGAATTTGACCGGTTCGAGGAAATCCAGGAAAGATGTAGAAATGCTGAAAAGGAAACTAAAAGAGCATCCGAGTTGGCCGACATTGCCCGGGTGGAGGCCGTTACTGCTCAAAAAGAGAAAAACGAGATTCAACGGTTAGCAGGTGAAAGGTTGACAGAAATCACAAGGCTCGAGAGGCGTATTGAGAGCCTCGACCGACGAAAAGAGGACTTGGCTGATGAATTAGAGCGATATCAAGCTGCCGAAATGGATGCTATATCGAAAGTCAGACTTTTAGAGGCAAGAGTTGAAGAAAGGGAGAAAGAGATTGAAACACTACTGAAATCAAACAATGAACAGAGAGCAAGTACTGTACAAGTCCTCGAAAGCCTTTTAGAAACCGAGCGGGCAGCGCGGGCAGAAGCGACTAATAGAGCAGAAGCACTTTCAGTTCAGCTACAAGCCACCCAAGGGAAGCTCGATTTGCTCCAACAACAGATGACCACCGTCCGCCTTAATGAATCTGCGTTGGATAGCAAACTCAGAACAACTTCTCATGGAAAACGATACAGGGTTGAAGATAATGAAATGGGTACGGATTCCGTTCAAGAACTTTACGATGATAGAGATAGAGTTATACGTGGAAACAAGAGGTCCCGTAGTACAACTAGCCCGTTAAAGTTTGTTGCCAACGAAGATGGTGGTTCGGTGTTCAGAGGCAACGAAGACGACAGTAACCACAGTCAACAAACCAGTTCTGAAGATCACACCAAATTCACCATTTTGAAATTAAAACAAGAGCTCACAAAACACAATTTTGGTGCAGAGTTGCTTCAGTTGAAGAATCCTAACAAGAAAGATCTCGTCGCTCTTTACGAGAAATGCGTTCTCCAGAAATCTTGAAAATGGTTAGTTTGTCTAACCACCACCACAATTCATCATCTTTAAACTGAATACAAATCATCTGTCCCTCCCAGTCTCACCAATTAACTCCAGACACTTACTTTATTTAATATACACATTATTACTTTATTTAATATACATTTCTATAATGGGAAATCCACCAAAATAGCCATTTATGGCAAAGAGATTAAAGAAATAGCCAATTTTTCGAAGTTTATAAAGAAATAGCTGTTAAGATTGCCAATCAAGGCCGCCAATTGGCGGAATCCACTTTTTGTGAGATCGTGGGTCCAACCTAGCAAAAAGTAGCACCGGTCCACCCTAAAACCCACAATTCAAAATGTTGCCAAAAAACTGTAGTTTTGGCGAAATTTGGCGGAATCCATGTGTCATCATCTGATTGGTTTGCAAACCTCGTCGTTTGGCCCACCATATGTCAAAAAGTGTATTTAGCAAAATTCTAGGCTACTTTTTGCACCTCGTAAAAATGGCTGTTTCTTGGCCTTTTTGCCAAATAAATGGTTATTTTGGTGGATTTCTCTTATTTAAGTAATACATATATTTCTGCTTCAATAATACTTGATGATGGGTCAGAGGTTGATTGGTGTAGAAGGAAGGAAACAGAGTTTGGGGACGGGTAATTTGCATATGATTTAGACTAATGCAGGAGCTCACAAACACATTTGGTTGCAGGGTTGCTTCCATAGAAGAATTCCGACCTAATGGCTCTTTTTGGAAGATAACAGAAATCTTGAAACTGCAAGTTTATCAACTTCGGTGTGTGTAATCTAATGTAAGTTACAAGTTTAGTGTATTCTTTAAGTTATTCTGCACATACGAGTTATGGAAACTAGATCATAGAAACAGAGTTGTGACTGGCGGCAGTTTGGCAGTTGTACGGGTCCAGGTTATATCAACTTGATTCGGGCTTTGATGATTTCAGGCTCTGGTGTTTTCTTAACATTTGTCACTTCTTGATCTCAGGTGTGTTATCAATAATAGGTTAGTATAGCTTGATTTATTGTGGTTTTATGGTGGTGGTGGAAGTTGGGATGGAAGATTTATCTGTGGTGGTTTTTGGTTTGGTGGCTGGTGCAAGTAATGAATGATTCAGAAGGACCGAGGTATATAGCATCTCTAATTTGGTCATTAGTATGTACCTTTTTTTTTAATATTTGACACTTTTTTTTTGGTTTCAAATTGTTGAAAGATGATTGCTAATTTGGTCTTAAATGGCTTTTGGGATAAAAAAATGAAGCGTTGTACATGTGGGTTGGGGTGTTTGTTATTCGGGTCGAGCCAAAAGCCTGTCTGGTTGAAATCTTTCTGGTTATTTGGTTTGGTTTTTGGTTTTCGATCTTGGGTGAAACTGGAATTAATCTCTAGTTTAGCGGTGTGGTTTTGGTTTGGGTGTTCTTTTTCCAATTATCTGTTTTGGTTTCTTGGGGAGTAGATGCAACAACAACAATAGCCATGTTGGTAGATATGCTCAGAGAACTCGATGTTTGAAGCCGATCGTACCCTTAGCTCAGGAACGGTTACAAAAGAAAAGGTTAACGTAGAACCGGTTAAAAGCCATAACTAGGCCTCTATGCCCTATTGGGTTCCTTTTATGGATTTCGGTTAGAACATCTTCAACATATTCTCTAGAGTAAACTACAATTTTCGTTCTTGTAGTTTGTTTGTTCTACAAATTTTAGTTTTTATACTCTTGAAATTACAATTTTGTCTTTGTGGTTTGTAATTCATTGTTTTTCCGTCCCTAAGGCAATTCATTACATTTGAGTAAAAAGGATGAAAAAAGTAATACCTTGTAAATCACAAGGACTAAAAAAGCAATGAAGTGTAAACCACATCTATAAAACTGTAATTTCAAAAAAAATGAAAATAGTAATTTTCAACAAAAAAACACATGGACGAAAAACATAATTTACTATATTATCTATAATTTGTCAAAAAAATATAATTAAAAGTCAAAATCTCTATAAAAAATTACATTAAATTTCAAAGGGCTTCTCTATATTTTAGGGATCCTATCATTAATTATACTAGTTGGTGTACCCGTGCAATGCGGCTGGATATCAAGTTTTATTGTGAATCAAGAAACAGACGACTCAATACTTGGTATATCTCATTCAAAATCAGGGTCTAAGTGGATAAGATGTACACATGTATTCATGTCACTAAAATGATAAAGTGGCTATACCCCCACCTAATGTGGGACTTAACTTCGGTTTGTTTACCTAAACACTTGTTTGGTAAGCTTTTATCGGTAAAATTCAACATTACTTACTTTATCGAGTAAGATCATAGTCCATCAAAATGGTATCATATGGAACAATTTACTCGATAAGTGTTTATCGAGTAAAAGTCTTCACTCTCACTTACCAGGTAAGACTCTCCATCTTTATCATTGTTTTTACTGGGTAAGATTATTGACTCTTGCAACGTTCATCTGGTAAGGTAAATAACCTGGTAAGTGTTTACCATCCACGTAAGCGTTCGATAAACGGCCCTTTCCGTATTGTTATAATCGAACCACAAAATAGATTTTATCCCTTTTTATCTTAAGCCAGCCACAAGCGAAACAAATAATATAATTTTTCTGCCTAAAAATTGATCAGCCAAAAATAGCAATGAACTTTTAAGATTGATAAAAACAAAAACCTTAAAACAATAAATTACCCAACCAATAATAACAACCCATTTCATCATACATGTTTGGTGCATCTTACCGAACTTATCCATAGCCAACCATAGAAATGCCAATAAATCAAAACTCATACACGTAACCAAATACGATCTCGTTCAAAACTATCATCAAACCTAAAATCAAACAAATTGTAACAACATTCCATTACAATTGTTAATGTCAAGATTCCATCAAATCACATTCCTCAGGCATCTCATAGAAAAGTTTCCTTCCTTCTTTAGCTTTACCAAAATTTTTAAACATCCGGACACTGAATTTCTCCAGCAAGGGTTTTAAAATCATATAAAAAGTATGCATACTTTTTGATTCTACAACTGATGAATTGCAATGTTTGGCCAAGGTGGCTCCAAATGCAGGAACCTACAAAAATCCACAGTAGTGATAAAATTGTTATGATCTTTTCAATGTGAAGTCACAATAATGCATATATCACAAATATATACAGTATTGAAGTACCTCATAATCAAAGTCTGCCACTCTAAAGATTTAACACTTTAAGGTAATTTGTAATCGTCTATCCCCCTCCCCTCTCAACACTCTAGGACAATCTCTCTCTGCCTTCGAAGAGGAGACTCCATATTTAATTGATAAGCTTTTGACAAATTTTGTTGCCATGTAGCATTTTAGGTTATCACCAAGTTTGGTCATATCCAAACTATATTTCGGACCATCACAAATAACAATAAGAATGGTGCTTACATGATTAAGGTAATTTTCCTACATGCAAAGTTCTTTCCTATTGGTAATTGTAATTACTAATTAACGACAAGAAACAATCATCAACTCTTTAATTTTGTAAAGATTATGCATCAAAGAGAACCTAGTGTTGGGTTTGAATTTCAGTGTAAATTGTATTCCTCTTGAAAGGTTACTATTGTCTATAATTAGATAGACATCGTGTTTGACTTTATTAGTGAGTTTGAATTTGACTTAGAAGGGTTATACTTTGACCCTATATAAAGGATTTGTCTTTAGTGAATTTAGAGAGGAGATACATTGTAAAAATACGTATACATTTGAGAGTAATATAGTGCATTGACTATTTGACTTTCTCTCTCAACTCTCTTCTACATGTTCTTGAATGTTAAATCAAATATGCTATTGATTCATAGAAGATATATTGAATATTGATCATAAAGTGGACTTACATTTGGTATCAGAGCAGGATTTGCAAGAAATCAATAGAAGAAATCAACGATTTTGAAGATTTATTGCAAAAAATTTCTGGAAATTTTATGTGTTTATCTTGATGTTCATCGTGTTCTTCATATTTTTTTTGTTTGATCTGAATTTTTATCAGAATCATGTGGTTTTGTGTTAAAATCATGATCAAACTATTTGTAATCATGTTGTGAATCTTTATAATACACAAAATATTGTGTTTTGATCTTTAGTTTTCAAGATTTAGAAAAGGTTTGATTCATAATACAAACAAGTCAAATGTTAACCATCCTAAAAACAAGTTGAAGAGATATTCATTATTAAATGAAAAGCAAGTTGAACATTCCAACAACCTTGAGCAAATATCAAGACATGAAATCTATTTGCATAAAGTTGGAAAGATTTGGAAATACCTCCACCATTTGAATTTGATAACAAAGGACCAAAATAAAAACATACACCTCTTCTATTTTAATCAATAGATGGGAACAACCACCTAAATAGAGAACAATATATTTTAATGCATGATCACATTTAACATGACAAAAACAAAAATAACAGTTTAGTTGCATAATCTGATCATATACCAAAGAGTCCGATCTACTGAATCTAATATCCTTTCCTGGATATATCTTTCAGCTATTGAAACACACAAGCATATTAAATCAAATAAAACCAAAAGAGTCGTCTTTATGAAATATGTTAGAAGCAAAAAAGACTAAGATCTTTTGCACATACAAAAATAAATCAGAGTACCTTGACGTGAGAAATGGAGAAATAGAGCAAACCTTGGGATGAGAAATCAATTAGAATTGAACAAAGAAGATCAATCTGAAGATCAAAACCATTCATAAGAAATCAATAGTCGCCTAGAGAGAGTAAAGGGTGGCAAAACTCTCCCTGTCTTGATAAAAATTTGAACAACAATTCCTATTCAATTTTTGTAAATTTTTGGACCTAATGAAACTTATGATTGTAATATTAAGCAAAAATGAGATATAAAACTTTTCATTTAACTTCAATGTCAATGGAGCAAAAAGAACATAAATGGAAAAGGGAAATGAAAGAATGTAACATGCTTGACATTCAAAATCAAAGTACATCTCTCTTTTGGAACCCATTAGCAACACACTCATCAAAATCAACAAGCAAAGCAAGTTTAGGATAGAGTAGCTGTTAGTTTGAATAATCATAGAGTATTTGTTGAAGATGCTCAAAAATAGTAGTATAAGAAGAAAATAAATAAGATATGAACTCACACTTTCCTACAAAATTAAACGACCTGTTTTGCACATATTGGTTACTTGAAATAAAGGAATTGAACAACGAAACAAATCAAGAAGAACAAAAGAATGGAGGAAAGGAAATGAGACGCTTACAACTTTAACCTCTACATACCATAAGAAAAATAGCAAGAACAAAAGATTGGTAAGGGCAGAAGACTCTGCATACCTCTGTCTTCACTCTCTATTCTCCCATGAGATGAATCCAAATAATTTTAGCATTTTGCACAACGAGAGACCTATACAACATAAAACCTGCTAACATTTTGCACACTAAGCATCCTACTCAATATGTACCGAAAACTTGATCTAAGATGGAAATAACTCGAGCATATATCGATTATGGAACCTAAGTAGAGAATGGAGATGAAGAGTAATGGAGGAAACAAACGTGTATATTGATTGGTCTAAGATGGAAATACCTCGAGCATATATCGATTATGGAAACCTAAGTAGAGAATATAGATGAAGAGTAATGGAGGAAACAAACTTGTATATTGATGTAAGAAGAAGAAAACCTAGCAATGGAGAAATCAAAGATCGACAGGGAAGGGTAGAGATTTGGATTAGTGTTTTGGGAAATGAAAAGCCATCTAGAGAGAAGCAAAACGGTAGATAAATTTATTGGGGGTGGGAGAACCGAAAAGATTTCTTGGAGCCTAAGGTGGCGTTTGGTTCGCAGATTCTGGAGGAATCTGATGGAATTGAAATGTTGAATTCCATTAACCAAATTCCATTCCCTCGTTTGGTTCATTTTTTTTCACGAAAGAAATCTTCAAAATCCAACAAATTCCACAAATAAAGGAATTTAACATTCCTTAGCAACTACATGGTATTTTGATGGAATGGAATCTCTATCTTC